GTTTTGTTATTGTAACCCTATTATCAAGCACAACCTGGTTTGGCTGTGATATTTTTTGCAATAGCTATTATTGCTGTTATAGGCAATTAAGAAATATTTGTTCATTTAACTAGTAAAAGAGTGAGTGATTCAGTGAATTCATTGGCAAAAATTCATAAACCAATTTGGAGTGTGGTTTTAGGCTTAATGTTTAAACACATAGCTAAAAAATAGTTATAATGTTGGGCTTAATCAAGATGTTTTACAACAGGAAAGGAATAGCGCTGAAAAGTTATTTTATGTAAATCTAAACGACATTATAGATACTTTTGAACAACTTAACCTTCTATGGTTTTTTCGGGTAGAGGGGTTGAACTCAGGGTCTCATGCTTGCTAGGCAGACACTACTCCTTGAGCCACTGTCAGCCCTGCCTTCTTCATTTTTATGTCAGTAAGTAGAAGAGAAATTCTCTAAACAAGCTGGTGCAGCTGTGTATACTTGGAATCCCAGCTACTTGGGAAGTAGAAATAGGAAAGATCCCGGTTTGAGGCCGACCCAGGAAAAAGGGTAGTGAGACCTCAGTAAGTCAGGCATAGTGGTACACACCTGTGATTCCAGCTACACAGGAAGCATAAATGGGGGATCATAGTCCAAGGTGACCTGGGCAAAAAATGCAAAACCCTATTTTATTTTACTAAAGCTAAAAGGGCTGGAGGGTGTGACTAAAGTGACAGAGTGCCTGCCTAACAAGCCCAATGCTTTGAGATGAAATCCCAGTAATGACAAAAAAAGAAATTCGTTAAACAAAAATGTGCTGCATATATATCTAGTTGCTGCTATACATTACATTATCTATACTATTTTTTAAAACTGTGGCTCTAAAAGGTTTATAAAAAAATCCTTGATATTCTGAATAACTCATTAGATAATTATCCAGTGTTCACTCATTTATAGAGTACTTGCTCTGTTCTAGACACTGTGCTACACATGTTATGTACATTGGTTTTTAGGATCCCCTTCCAGAGGAACTCTAAAATAGGTACAATTCTTATTTTATAGATTGAGGAATGGAAGATTGAGTGGAGTGATGCAGGTTCAAACTCAGGACTCCAGGTTTCCCAACATATGAGCTGAATCTATCACCATTTTCAATTCTTTTTGATATTCAGGACAAATAAAGACAAACTTTCCCCTTACCTCCCATTTATATCTGGAATTAAGCAGACACACCATTGCTTTAATACATTTTTCTCATTATTTTAACTAAGACTCTGGATTCTCGGATTCTGTTGTTAGACTCATGCCAGTCAGAAGTAACTGCTATGCAGGATAGGGATGAACAACCCATAGATACAGGGAGATATTACATACAGTATGACATTGGTAATGGTGGGTAAGGTATTGAGTTTAGGTTAGATGATAAGGTGGTTTTAACAGTGTGTTCCAGTAATGTGCCCATAGCTTTGGGCAAAGGCACCAGGTTTGTGATGGTGCTGGCATCATACCAATAATTTAAAAACTATTTTCTAAAAATAAAACAAAATTCAAATGCAAAACTATGTTCTTTACTTTTGTGACATTTCTGAAAATTTTTCCCAGAAAACATACACATAAATTCATAGGCAAGGTTAATGCTTTGTTTCAGAATATAGTAAATGTTATTCTAGTTAACCATGAAAAATATATGAATATATAGAAAATTGTAAAAGTGATACTAAGCTGGTGTCCATGACAGAAACTTAAATGTAAGACCCTATAATACCTGTGGAGGATTAAGGTAGGATATTGCACAGTGAAAGTGCTTTCACTATAGAGTCAGAGATCCAATATTTGGGTAAGTTACTTTTTTAAACTTCAGTTCTCTTATTTGGAAGGCAGAAATAATGCTAGTGTGTACCTCAGTGGGCTACTGTGAGAATTAAATAAGATGAATTAATATGTGTGGCTCACAGTAAGAAATCAATAAAACCTGAAATCATTAGTGTTGTTCCTTATGGTAATGTTTTGGTCATGCTACTACAACTTTCAGGAAGGTGAAGATTTTATTGTTCAAAGGAAGTACATATATCAAAAGTATCATCAAGTAGATTTCCATATCTATGGAGACTTAGTTCTTTTTTATTTAATACCAATCACATTATATGAGACTGAGATTTGAGGCCAATGTAGTTATTTTGGTTGGCTAAAAGTCTTACCAGCAAGCATATCTTCTAGAGGAGGGACTGAATTTACTTTCAAAACTATATCCTGTGTTCTTATTCCATTTTGGTAAGCATTGAAAACTGTGAATGTTTCCTTCTTCAATTAGAGAACTGGCTCATTTCAGGTGAATTCTAGGTGTCAGATTATAAACAACTTCAATCAATATTTAATGATATCTTAAAGGGGATTAGTAAGATTATCTCCAACAAACATATATTATTATGAATCAAAATAATCTTCCCCCCAAATAAAACCATGCCCACCCTGTCGTGTGATTCCTGGTCCATGCTTTAAAGTAGGAGAAGTAGGAACAAGGAAAGATTATTTTTGGATTCAGTTATGCTTAGTCATTAAAACAAAACAAAACAAGGCACTTGGTTTTGCAGAATAAGCAATAAGGTTTAAGTTTTCTTTCTTAACTAGGCCACTGCGCATTCTGTGTTGGATTAGTGCCTGAATTCAGTTAATTTGATGCAAATGCTCAAAATTCTCATTCTTTTCTGGATTTAGCTAAACCTTTAAAAAAAAACCAGGAAATGTTTTGAAGTTACTATGTTATAAGAAATATTTTAATAGGAATATTTCTGAATTTTGCTTTTGTTTATTTTATCGTTTTTATATTTACTTACATGTGTATTCTGCAGGGCGCTCCAGTGGCGCAGTCAGTTAGCACATGGTACTTTTATTTCTGAATTTTGAATAAGAACTTAGCTTGAACTTCTGCCGTTGTTTCTCTGTGGCTGTATACCTGTATGAATCCAAACTAAATACATTAAGGGAAGAAAAGCCTCACCGAATTTCATTATTTCATCAAGCCTCAGTGATATGACAGAAAGAGTCCAAAATTAGGTAGAATTCTATAGCTTTGCTACTTTCAACAAGGTAATTAGATTTCTGGGCCCCTGCAACTCATCTGTAAAACTGTGAAACTACTACTAACTTCAAAGGCTTTTGTGAGGATTAAATAAGATGATGCTGATAAAATGCCTAGGATGGTACCCAGCACCTAGCAAGGACTAAATATTCTATTTCTCCTCTCTCTTCCCTGCTTTTATTGATTGAAAATTCTGCCAGCAACTTGAGAGTGCTTGTGTTTTATCTTGTCCATAATAAGTAGTATTTGACATTGAAAGGCACAGAGAAGAAATTTTCCATATTTATGTGACAAATATTACAGTAGCAAAATTCTAATAACTGAGTAATTATGCCAAAGTTTCTGGCTATTAATTCTTGGAATTTTGGATATTTGATGAGAACCGGTGTTTGAAGTGTCAGGCTGAAGGCCTGGCTCAAGTCTCAGAATACCTGCATGGCAAGTATGAAGCTCTAAGTTCAAAGTTCGGAACCACAAAAAGAAAAAAAAAAAATAGTGTATATTATATTAACAAAATGTCACCTGCTGTTCTCTGCTTTAATGAATAGATAGCTTTATCTTTGATTTGTGGGCATGTTAATTATTATATTATAATATACTTTGTAAACTATTTTGAAATAGAACTGTTTCCTTACATTAACAGTTTGTTACTTTTTCTTTATATCTTGCTATAGCTTTTTTTTAAAGTTTATTAAAGGGCATCAATTCGAGGCTAACTGATTCCCAAAAATGAATGACCAAAACCTGAGTTAAAGAAATTTAGTTATTATTTGAAATCATATTTTCATAATGAGAACTTTTTTTTAAGTGAAATTCACTTAAAAGCCACATTTTCTCTCATATGTGGACTATAGACCTAATACAAATGCAGCAATATTATGAAACACTGGTTACAGTACCGGGAGGTCACGCACAGGAGGAGGAGGGTAAAAGAAGGAAACTAAGAAGATGAATATGGTTGATAAACTCTCTATACAGAAATGAATATAGAATTCTTAAACTGTCTGAAAAGCACCATAAGAAAGGGATAAAGGTAGAATGAAGAAAAATAGAAGAGATGAACCAATTGGGGTTATAATACATATATACATGGAAATATCACAAGAAAACTCCCTGCGTATCTACCTTTATCACAAACAAGCAAAAATGTCATGTTTTTTTTCTTTCTTTTTTTTTTTTTTTTCTGCAAAATTGGAGCATCGGAGGGCAGAACAAGTCCTGCCCAGGGTGGCAGTTGGTACCAGTGGGAGGGGTGAGATATTGGGAAAATGGGGTAGGAGTGTGAATACAGTGCAAAAACTGTGTACACATGTATGTAAGTGCAAAAGCAATACCTGTTAAAACCATTCCAGGAATGGGATGGGGGGTGAATTCAAGTATGATGTAATTGATGCATTCTTTCTTCTAGCTTTGTCTGGATATTTTAATATCCTGGGACCACCTACAAAAATGCCTGCCATCACTTCTCTTTCTCTTTTTTGTTCTTCACTTTCTCCTGGTCATTTTTATTTTCTTTATGTTTCATCCTTGAATGGTATATTACTTCCAGGTTTTGTATTCTTCAAATGTGATATGGTGATGATATTAATATCTAGAAACAGGGAAAAATAAACTAAATAAGGTAGGGATTTTTCTTGTTTTAAGTTTTGTGACCTGAAATATTCGCAGCATTTCTCTGGACTAAGGAGTTTCTTAATTTCCCTTTTTATGTTAATGGTTTTTAAAAAACAATTAGATCACCTAAGGAATTTGCCTTTGGCTATTGAATTAGAATAGAAGATGGAAGAAAAATTAGCATAACTAATCAAAAGCTGTTACCCTTACTCTTTAAGTATATTTTCTAGCCAGTTTTGAGTTATGTAAGAAAATAAAAAAAAGAAAACTCTCCCATAATCCTGTAGTTTCTAATTTATTTTAATTATGTCTTCTTCAATTTTCTTTCAGAACTCTCGATGTTTCAGTGAGCTTTAATGGAGGAAAATCTGTCATTTCAAGCTCATTAATCATCACCGCCACAGAATGTGTAAGTGAAAAGTTAGTTACCTTTTAAAAATAACATTTCTATTCAGAAATCATCTGTGGAAACTCTGTATTATCAAATAATAAAGAAGGCACAAAAATAATATTAGAGAGCAATACAAGTAAAAACTTCTAGAATATATTTTACCTCCATCTGAAAGAAATTGTAAGATAGTAAACATTTTATTTTGATATTTGTGAAACAAAAGTTGTACTTAAAATCAAGGTAACAGCATGAAAATGAAGCCTTTCTTAGAACATTAAATATGGAAATGATAATTTTTTTCTGTTTTGAAGACTAGAATTTAGTATCTAAGACATTTCTCATGTTCTAATATCATTTGTGCATTTAAGAGATGACATCATTTTTTACATCTTAAATGTTGATACTTCTTGGTTTGAAAGTACACTGAAACTGTATTTTAATTGAAATTATTGGTTTTCGTTGCCTAAAATGCAGTATTTTGAAATATAAACTCCAGTTATAAGAAAGTTTTTTTTTTTCTCATCGCTAATTTGTGAACTTACAGAAAGTTTTGATATTATATTGTAGATCATGCAAGCCGGAAGTACTAAGTTGGATTGACCATATGGTTACTATTTTTAAGAGTATTTTTCCTTTGTAAAAAAATATATAAATCAAATCAAAAAAAAAATAAGAGAAAAGAAAAAGAATGAAGGAAAAGAGAGAAGAAAAATTCTTGTCCTCCAAAAGACCAGAATCCCAAACTTAAGATTTTCTCATATCTCATGGTTTTGTGGCTGTATATTTTTATTTACAAATTCAGAGACATCCTTCCTCCAGAAACAAAATAAAACAATTCAGTATTACCTGTGTAGAGCTGGTTGTGTTTCTCACTGTGAGACTGTTGCAGGGAAAATAAACATCCAGATGGAATCTTGTGCACTTTTGAACTCCTTGGATAATTTTATTGATACTTCCTTCTATTTTGAAAATAGCTAGTTTTTTCTCTATTTTTTTTAATCTGTAATGTTTTGCAATTTTTAGGTTTTGTGTATGTTGCAATTTGTAGGTTTTCTGGTCTGTTAGGATGTGGTCGGTAAGGTTACAAATATTTGTAGTGTGTAGTTTCTCAGGGCTTAGCTCATGGAAAGGGCACTTTTTCTTCACCCTTCCTACTCTTCACCTCCAGCTGTCTTTTTTTTTTTTTCTTCTTTTCCCTGCAGGAAGGAAAACAGTTCTTGGTTCCTGTTTTATACCCTGTATTACTTTTATGTGCAGGGTGGCTAAAGTTAAACCACTCATCTGGAATTTATAGGTTGATAATAAGGAAGTCTTAGCTAAGTCTTGCTTATTCTCAGGAGGATAATTTGACTAAAAGTTCTTCAAGAGTAAGATGATTTCAGAAAAAAAGAATATTGATTATGTCAGAGATGGGGAAAAGTTGTGATATTAAATCAGGGGTCAAGGTAATTCTTATAGATCAGATTTGAGCTAAGACTTGAGGAAAGTGAGGGATTGAGCCCTGGAGACCACCTGATGGAAGAGTGTCCCATGCAGACAGAGGGGCTAAAACAAAGCATGAGGTGGGGCAGTACCTGGTAAGTTTAAAGAAGCGCCAGGTGGCCTCTGTGCTGGAGTGGGGGTAGAGAGGTAGAGCCAGGAAGAGTCTTTGGTCGAGGAGAGGGGTGGTGGAAATGGAGTAGAGGACAGCAGATGGGGCTGTGTGAGTCACTGTGAAGACATGAGCTTTTCTTCTGAGTGAAACAAGGACGTGACATGATTTGACTTAGTATTTTAAAGGATCACTCTGGCTGCTGTGTGAAAATAGGTTTTACCAGTGGGGACAAAGGTGGAAATATTGAGACCACTTCTGTGGCTATTTCAGTAACCTAGGAGATGGGGAAGGAAGTGGTTCGTTGGGTGATGGCAGTAGAGATGGTGAGAAGTAGTTAAATTTGAATATGTTTTAAAGGTGGAACTCAGAGTTTGAGTAGACAGATTAAATGTAAGGTGTGACAACAATAAAGACATTAAAAATAGTTCTAAGATTTTTTTGCTTGGGCAACCAGAAAGATGAATAGTCATCAGGTAGAGCAGTTTCTGGAAGAACGTACATTCTCTTTTGGTACTGTTTAGTGACAGATGTCTATGAGACACCTCAGTAGATGTCAGAGAGGCCCCTGGGTATGCAAGTCTGATGCTGTAGAGAGAGGTCTGGGTTGGAGTAGAATCTTGAGAGTTGCCAACAAATGGTTGGAATGAAGTAAGCAACAAAATTCCACATATTTATTGGAAAAAAAAATCCCCTAGTTTTCAGTATGTTATAGCAAGAAGGGAAAGGTTTTATCTTTTCTCTTATGAGGAACCCAAACAAACTGGGCCTTGAAGGGAGAGCAAGGTGTAGGCAAGAGAGAAGGCAGGAAAGCACATTGCATAGAAACAAGAAACAGGGTGGGATGTGCTGAAGAATTGAAAGCAGATATGTTTGCTTAAAGTGGAAATAAATACAAAGAAAATTTGGAAATAGAAAATTTAGAGGGGTAGGGGAGTAGTTCAAGTGGTAGAGCACCTGCCTAGCAAGTACAAGGCTCTGAGTTCAAATCCCATTCCATCATAAAAAAAAAAACCTAGATACTCACTGGTGGTCTAGTGGTTAGTGTTGGGCAATCTCACCACTGTGGCCTGGGTTCAGTTCCCAGTCAGGGAAGCCTTTCTTCTGGACAGGAGACATGACTCAAGGGGTAGAGTACATACTTTGCAAGCATGAAACCCTGAGTTTAAACCTCAATCCCAACCAAAAAAAAAGAAAAAGAAAAGAAAATTTAGACCAGTTTATGAATAACCTAAAACACCGGACAGAATTTATAGTTTGTTCTATAAGCCTATAGTACCCAAACTGTATTACATGGAGATGCTAATACTAAAATACAAAAAGAAAAAAAAGTTTGTGTTTTTTCATGGTTTATTCAACTTGAAGAAATTCTTTAATTCTAAAATTGTCCTCCTGCCATTTTAATTTTAAAATATCTTTTGATTGAGGCAACATAACTAAGCAGTTTGTGAGAACCAGCCTCCCTTCCCTCTCTCCCTTCTTTCTTCTTTTCTCCTTCTCTGACCTGTCTTCTTCATTTCTCTATATCCCTCTCCCTCCTACTTTTCCTTGTGTATTATTATTTGGCAGAATGATTAGCCAGCAAGTCTGTGTGAAAAGCTCCATTCTTTTTTTATTTTAGGTTTTACTGGCTCGAGACATCATAAAATCTGACTGAAATAGATAATAGTGTCTTTATAAAAGACTCAGGCATGAATGTGATGGTGCAACATGCTATTTTGGGAAGACTAGATTCTGAAAGAGAATTAAGATGGAAAACAAACAAGACACAGAAAACACTTTTAAGAAACGAATGCTAGAATTTAGGCCAAAACTTTGGTTCAGAATTAACTCATGGTGGTAGAAACAGTGCTGGAAATGATAGTAAAATTTGCATTGATGAAGAAATGTATATTATAAAGTGTCTTTTGATTTGGAAGGAATGACTGATTCCAAAATATTGCATCCCATGGTCTGGAAGAATGATGCTACCGTCATCTAAAGATGGAGCTGAATCTGGAGATGAAGAGTATTTTCACTATATACATGCTGAGTTAGTGAGATAGCCAAAATCAAATGGATCATTGTAGATATAACCTCAGTCTGAGTGAGGGACCAGGGCTGGAAATCACTATTTAAATTTCACGTTTGTTGAAATAAATTTCACTTTTGTTGAAATAAATTTCACTTTTGTTGAAATAGTAGAAAAAAAGGATGGGAGAGTTTAGTGTTAATGGAATTTTGAAATAGGAAGAATATGTAGTGTGAAAGACAAATTGCACTGGACAAAATGAAACAAGCAAGGGAGATCTTATTTGAAACTATTATTGCACGAGGGAAGAGAGATTGACTGGAACTTTGCTGAAACCAAGGGCTGGAGAACTTTTAGGAGCCAGGGTCGTAGAAATTATGAGCCACCTGACTCTGTAAGTTTGTCTTGCCTAAAGTAAAAGTAAGCTTTCTCTTATCCTAATAGGAGGCAGTGTTAAAACTTAGGACTAGGTGGCCACTGGTGTTGGACTCCTACCCTTCTGCAGAGACTCAGATAGGGACATAGTCTAATTTGATTTCTTTTCAAAGCAACAGCTGCCAGGTCCTTGAGAAATAGACTTTTCTCCAGGGTCTGTCAATTAGCAAGAAGCTTTAAAGCTTTATAAGCTTTTCAAAGGCCAGAGAAAGATTTTGCAATTATAAGTTTTCTAAAGTCAACTATTTAGGAAAAGGGAGGTCTGAGACCCATAGTCAGGAAGAAATATGATTTGATTAAAGTTTAAAGGTTAATCAAGCTAAGGAAAAAAGGTAATTGTTATTTTGCTCATCAGAATAACATTAAAAAGTGAGAGACAAAAGCTCAAGACCTGGCAAAACCAGATCACTTAACAAATAGAGAAGACAAAGGACAGAATTCCAAGAGGAAGAGAAGACTGACCTCCTGGAAGAGGTCAAGTAGAACAAGGCTGAGAAAAGGTCCCAGGGTCATTAGAGACCTTCCTCCTTCAGTACAGACTGATGGTACAAAGATTTCTCTTCCTCTTCTGTATAACTTTTATTACTTTATTCATTATTTCAGTATAACAAATATTGCAGTTTGCTGTATCATATTGCTAATCATAGAAAGTTTTTTTTTTTTTCTTACTATATTTGACCATATTTTGTATTCAGCCTCAAACTTCTCTGGCATGTGGCAGTAATACTATCTTTTTTTGAGTATGGAAAGTAGATTGAGTTGAGGAAATCCACTTGCTGACTTGAGCATGAACTCTCTATTCAAAATGGAAGAGAGTAGTGGGAAACACTGACAAGTACCCAGGCATTAGATTTGAGTGACTGTCAGGCTTCCATGCATGTTCAGATATGGCAATTAGGTAAAATAATGTTAGTAATCTTGCTCCTTAGGGGGATGATGTCTTTGGACTTTCACAGCTATGGGAAATACAAAACAAAATAA